GTTTCTCATCAAGAAAATTTTCATTAATCTTCTCTTCATAAACACATGAATTCCCCTGATCTAGCCTAGATAAATGATCAGCTATTTAATTTTCTGTACCTTTCTCGTCTACAACTTTGAAATCAATTTCTTGCATTAATAGGACACATCTAAAAATCTTGGTTTGGCATCTTTTTTTGAAATCAGATATCTAATTGCAGAATGATTTTGTGAACAGTACATTAGTTCCAATCAAATATGGCTTAAATTTATCAAATGCATATACTACAGCCAGAAGCTCTTTCTCAGTTATGGTATAATTAATTTGTGCTTCATAAGAGACTATTTGGCCATGTATATAGCTCTAAACATCTTATCGTGTTAATGTCTTAAAACTGCCTCAATAGTGTAGTCACTTACATCACACATCAGCCTAAATGATCTCCCCTAATCAGGTTAAATAATTATAGGATCTGTGACTAATTTCCCTTTCAAAATATTAAAAACATTTAGGCATTCATGATCAAAATTAAAAATAACATCGTTTTCTAAAAATTGACATAAGGGTTTAGTAATTTTAGAAAATTCCTTAATATATCGCTTATAAAATCTACCATGTCCTGAAAAACTACTAACTTCCCAACAGTAATAGTTGGCAGAAGTTTTTCAATAACCTGAATTTTTGCTGGATCAACTTCCATTCCTCTTTCAAAACTTTTGTGTCCCAACACAATTTTTTCAGAAACCATGATTCGACATTTTCTCTAATTGAATAATAAATTAGTCTCTTCACAACATCTTAACACCTTGGCCAAACGCAAAAAAACATCCATAAAAAATAATACTCCCTTCTCAGTTAGGTCACAAAAAATTGACATCATGCACCATTAAAATGTAGCATATGCATTACATAACCTAAAAGACATTCTTTGAAAAGCAAAAGTTTTATACAGACTTATGAATGTTATCTTATCCCGATCCTCAGTAGCTATAGGGGTCTAATGACACCAAGAATATCCGTCTAGAAAGCAAAAATATGGATGACCAACTAGTTTATCCAACATCTGATTTAGAAAAAGTAAAAAAAATGGTATTTCCTGGTGAATTTTCTATAATAAGTACATATACGTCATCTAGTGACATGTCAAGTAGGGATCACTTCATTATGTTCATTTACTACAATTGCGCTCCCCCTTTCTTAGGTACATATTGGATAGAGCTAACCCAGGCATTATCTAAAATGGGATAAATAATACCTGCATCAAGCCACTTCAATATTTCCTTCTTGCAGACTTCCTTCATAGCAGGGTTTAATCTCCTTTGTGTATTTGGAGGGTTTATGGTTATATTCCATCAGGATCCTATGCATACATAATAAAGGACTTATCCCCTTTATATCTGCTAGGGTCCATCTAAAAGCTTTCTTAAAGCCCTCAGAATGTTTATCAAATTTTCCTCTTGAGAATTAGTTAAATATGTGATATGATAACCAGTGATGTAGATGGCTTTTTTAAGCAAACATGCTTTAAATATCTGAGAAGCACCTTTAATTAAAGTTCAGGTGGTTCCTCAATCAGAAGGAACCACATTTACAATTTTTGGTTGCATCCAGAATTTCAAACCTCTCCCTGACTATTTTTTACTTATATTCAACCAAAAGAGCCGAGTCTTCCATAGAGTCTGTAGATTTCTCCTTATCCAAATATGACTCTACTGATTTGACTTCATAATTTTCTAAAAATGGCTACTACACAAATAATCAATAATATCCATTCGAAAACACGCATCTTCATTTCTCGGAGAAGGATACTTCATAGTTTTTAACATATTAAGAGTAGCCTCCTAATCATTTACCCTCATAGTTAACTCACATTTTTGCACATTTATCACAGCTTGGCTAGTGGCTAGGAAAGGTCTTCCTAAAATAATAGAAATTTCTTTATCTTTCTCCATATCTAATACAATAAAGTCAACAAGGAAGATGAATTCATCCACTTTCATTATAACGTTCTGCTATAACCCCTTTGGATATGTGATCGAAGGATCAACAAGTTGAAGGGTCACAGCAGTAGGATATACCTCTTCTAATCCTAACCTCTTAAAAATAAATAATGACATAAGGTTAATACAGGCTCCGAGATCACATAATGTTTTCCCATATAATTTTTATCTAATTGCACAAGGGATAGTAAAACTCCCATAATCCTTAAGCTTCTAAAGAAACTTCTTCTATAAAATTACACCACATTCCTCACTAAGCGCTATTGTCTCATAATCTCCAAACTTCCTCTTTTTATTTATAATCTCTTTCAAAATCTTTACATATTTAGGCATTTATTCTAATGCCTCATCAAAAGGTATGTTAGTACTTATTTTTTAAATACATCCAAGAATCAAGAATATTGTTGGCTTGTTTTTTACTTCTGGAGTTTCTGAGGAAATGGTGGTGGCAGTCTTTCTATGTTAATTTTGTTAGGTGAGGCTGGTTTATCTAAATCTTTGAAAATATCCTCTAAAAGTCTTTCCAGTTCTATAATCTTTTTATTTCCATCTCAGGGTCTTTATGAACCCCATCCTCTAATTCCCTTACACTCTTTAACTTTACAACTTTTACATGCTCACTAGTCTTTTCCTTAGAATTACTCTGAGTGTTACTAGGAAGAGTTCTTTGGGGTCAACTGCTAGGTGAGTTTGCAATATATCCCAATTGGTTCTCAATATCCCTATCTGTAGAACAACTTCTTCCAAAGACAAATTCTTCTCCTTAAATTGTGGGTTAGATTTAAATCCTAGAGGATAAGAAGGTCTTAGGTTTGAACTACCCTAGTTGTTCCAATTTCTAAAAGGAATTGTTTGATTGTTTCCTCATTGTTGGTTTCCCCCACAAGAATTATTGTTCCAGTAAAAGTTAGGGTGGTTTGTCCAATTGAGGTTATAGATATTAGAATAAGGGTTATTAAATCTATTTTTTTATCACATTTAAAGTCTCAAAAGATGGAGTGTTAGCTTTAACCAATTATCCATATGAATTTTCTTCAATTACTAGTGGTTCTTGAGGCTGGTTAATCCCAAATTGATCTAACTTTCTAGAAATTACAACAACTTGAGAAGTTAAAATTGAAAGCACATCAGTATCATGTACTCTTGCCATTTTTTGAGGTTCACTCTCTTAGAAGACCATTGGAAATTATTTGTTGCCATCTCATATATCAGAGATAAGTCTCGTCAAATTCTTCGACATAAGCGATCCACCAGATGTAGCATCAATAATTGACCTAAGGCAACCTATTGAACCATTGTAAAAAGTCTGAATTATCAGTGAATCGAGCAGTGTATAATGGGGGCACTTTCTAAGAAGTTCCTTAAAATGTTATCAAGCTTCAGAAATTGACTCACCTTCATGCTCACAAAATGAAGTAATTCCATTCCTTAATTTAGCCATTTTTTAAGGCAAAAAATATTTAGCTATGAATTTTTGGGCTAAATTACTCCACATCCTTATTGATCCGGGTGCTAATGAATTTGAGCACATTTTGGACTTGTCTCTTATGGAAAAAAGGAGAAAGTCTAAGCCTAACAACTTCATTGGAATCACCATTATAACAGAATGTAGCGCAAAGTTCTAAGAAACTCGCTAAATGTAAGTTTGGAACTTCAGAAGGGGTTCCCTCAAATGGATTGTTCTGCACCATTTGTATGATAACAGGTTCCAGTTTGAATGTGTTAGCTTCTACGGTAGGGGTTTGAATACTTAAGGGAATTTCATCTACCGTAGGATTAGTGTAGTCCCTTAATGCTCTACGTCTATCGTGAGTCTATTCATGGTTTTTAGGATTATTTTGTGGGTTATTTCTCATATCTTCTACAAGTTCTTGAATTCTTTTCTATTTTCTAATTCTCCTAACAGTTATTTCTAGCTCTGAATCATATGGTTCAAGTCCAGTTGTTCATGAACTACGCATACACGAACTAAAGAATCTACTAGGTAAAATATAAACAATTCAACAAACAAAAATTCAAAATAACACACAAAAATATTTTTGAAAATTTCTTTTTAAACACTCAAGCACACAATTAAATAAAATAATTAACACTAAAGTTCTCAAAGTCTAAGTTCTATAAGTTCAACTAAAATTCCCCAAAGTTAAATATATCGTCGTTCCCCAGCAACAACGCCAAAAAATTAATACTGCTTTTGGTGCACTCACACTCTGGGGGCTCATGCAAGTGTACGTGTCGTATCACTAATATTGAATTTTTAAGTCCAGAAATTTGATCCCACAAGGAGCGAAGGAATTAGACTTAGGGAAAGTTCTAGCCTACTAGTTTTCATTCTTAGTTTAGAATTGAGATTAGATTAAAGTTCTATAAACTACTACTAATGATTTGCAAATTAATTTAAATGTTAATACTTATAAAGATCCTACTTACCCTACTTGGATTGGTTAATATCAATTTATAAGGTTACACTCCCTAATAATGAGTTGAGTGGTGCATATGAAATGTAAAATTCTAATTATATATGTGACTAGTGACCAATAGGAGTAACTCTCTTCTTTACCCTCTACTGAGTGCATAAATAAGATTGATCAAAATGACTTTAATTCCTTAAATCCCATTTTAAACCCATCAAATATTGTTTCCCTAACATTTGATCTCCCTACAATGTACTTATACCATACCCTATAGTTTGATGTAATTAATCTAGTTAGTTCTACCATAAATCTCTCGAGTCATTATGGATCACAACACATTTTAACGATTCACTTGGCTAGAATGAAAAAACATGAAGTTCTAAAGGTTAATCAAAACATTAAATATTTAGAAAATAACTTAAAAACATTTTACAATCCTATACATCCTACTCAACCATCAAAAGGTAAGGTAAATGAAATTACTCATAAAGCATGAAAAACAAATCACAAAGCTTCATTGAAATCAATAATGGAAATCTACTATTTGATATGTTTAAGGAAATACAACAATGCAAACACTCAAAAAGTTATCTCTTTTTCCTTTACAAAGCTTTGAAGATGTTCCACCCAAAGGAATCATGATCCCAGCTGCTATCCTGAAGTATCTCCTCCCTTTCCAACTCAATTCCTCACCAGATGACTAATTAAAACCTATCATACTCAATCCTTCAACAAGGCTCTTCCCTACATTAAAACCTATCATACTCAATCCTTCAACAAGGCCCTTCCCTACATTGCATAGATACATAAAAAGATTGTCAAATACCTCATGCAAACCTTCTTGGTCGTCTGAATAACTCCCCACGACCTAAGGTCGAATTGCTCAAAACTGTCTCGAACAGTTGCTGGCTCCAGCGCCAAGGCTCTAGGATCTCTGTTTGCAGAAGACAACAAGGGCACATTGGCGCCCATGGGTATGGCGCCTAGGAGCCAGCATCGCGGTCTGGCGTCTGGGAGCCAGTATCGCGGCGCCTAAGCGCCAACCTCTCAGGTTGCCTGGCTCAAACCGGCGCCTAGGTGCCCAAGGGTCTCGCACCAATCACCTGTATATTTACTTATTCCAAGTCTCCTCCACTTTACTCCACATCCAACACAATTTGTACCTGCAAGGAAAATATGATATTATCTTTCTTTAAAATGCAATTTCATCTATAAAAAGGTGTAAAACATAAAAGAATTCAAGTGATATTTTCTACACATCACTAATGTATCATAGCATTTTGACTGTAAATATATATATGAGCAATCACATATCTCTCCTAGTGAATGTGCATATGTATTAGTTTTATATGGATCTGTAACTAATGTTTTTTCATTGGTAAATGAATTCAACAAAAAATTAGTTTAATTGAACTTGCAATTTAACTTCCATGTTTATTTAAATTTTCATGTTAATTTAAAATAATCAACGAAATATAAAAATAGAGTGCAATTTTTTAGAAGACATAAAGAAACATATATTTCATTTCCTTTCATTCAAACAAATCTGGATTTATTTTTATACTTGTTGATGATGTTTTTGATAGCATAAAACCTAAGAATTCAAATATAAAACTCTCATTAAAATATATAAAAAAATAAAATTAATATATATATATAATACTTAACTGCTTAAGATATTTCATAATAAATAATTTTAAAATAATATAACAGTAAAATATTTCCCAAAAATGTATTTTGCTAAAATTATTGGAATATCATCCTTCATTTCTTCTAATTGTTGCCTTCCTATTGTTTTCAATGTTTCCCATAAAGTAATGTACATATTTTAGACATATTACATGCAAAACGACAAAAGAGATCACAATTTTTTTTTAAAGTTTGTAATTAAATCTAGAAAACTTGTATGTCCATCACCCCGGATGCCGAGCTATGTCTGGGCGACGGCCATGATACAGCGGAGGCCCGTCGCCCGATCGCAGCTCGACCTGACATTTATATATCCCTGTTTGTAAACCATTCTGACTTCATCGACTTTCATAACCAAGAAAAGAATAATTGGATCAAAATTTAACAAATTATAGTGAATAATTTCCTAATCTAATAAAGTAAGAAATTACATTTTATTACTTTGAGCTCTATGCATAAACGATAATAAAACTTATTAAACATATTTGTTAATATAAATTAATTAGACTATAATATTATCCATTGCTTTTTAAATAATGCATAATATTAAAAATAAAAATTTAAATAAATGAAATAATGAATAACCTCTATGTCCATCAAGGCAAGTTTTTGGGTCCACTCATCACCTAATCTGAAATTTCTTATATTGTCCTTTTAAGTAACCAAAAACCTTTATAATCCAAGAATATGTTCATGTATTACTAATTTACTGATAAGATTTGATGTCTCCATGATTTTACATATATTATGTTAGACATATAAATATATAGAAATTGGATGGTGTCATGATAAGAACGTAAATGCCCAAAAAAAAACACATTCATAAAACTATTCACTCATCAAAGAAGAAAAACTCGATGAGAGATTATTAAGTCCGTCGCCGGGATGCCGAGCTGCGTATGGGCGACGGCCGTGATACAACGGAGGTCTGTATACAGCGGAGGTCCGACCTCCGATGTATCACGGCAGTCGCCTGGACGCAGCTCGGCGTCCGGGCGACGGACGTAATAATTTTTCTAGCAGAGAAGAGCGCGCCCGATGATTACGATGAATACCAACTATAGAAAATTTAATTAAAACACAATTGCAATATAAAAAATTGTATTTGTAACAGAAGAAGATGAACAGAATAAAATCAAACAAATATGACAAAATGCGCACAAAATGAAAAATAAAAGGATGTTATAACATTGAAAACCAATGGAGCACACATTCGTAAAAGGATTTACATGCGCGCCACCCATTTCTTACGTATTTACATATCTAGCACATAAATTTTAATTTTTACATATATGCCACCTTACCTGTACGTGAAAAGATTTATTTCACTTTGCAAAGATTAAAAGTGGAAATTTTTTATGTGGTATGAAATATTTGGGTGGTATAAATGTAAAAAAGTAAAGTTTAGGAGTTTGGAATATAAATACATAGGAATTGGGTGGTATGCATGTAAATGCCCCTTTCAAATATCAAAATCAAAGAAGAAAACTGAATTGCAGAACAAAAACGAAAATCTTAAAGTGATCTGAAACAAGAACTTTCTTACCGGCACTGCAAGGCGCATCTGAGCCGCTGAAGCAGCCAACTTTCTGCTGAATACCTGTCCCACCATCTTCAAGAACAAAACTAGAATTACTTGTTTCATTGCTGAACAACACGGACCAGTAGAATCCGCCATGTTTTTCTCTCATAAAACCTGCTCCGAGCTCTGTGAGGTCTCCGCCATGGATGAGGGAGACTGCTCTCTTATCTTCGATGTCGAAGAAGGCCTGTTCTGTGTTCAGAGAGCTCAAATGGCAGCCCAAAAGATAGCCTGAAATGATTCCGATTGTGGCTAATTCTACCCCACAGTTAGGAGCATAGATCTCAGTTATAGCAGCTGGTTGAAGATGACAGGTGAGTGTGTTGTTTCTGCTGCAATTTTTGATGCATTGAGATATAAACTGCAGGGCCATGCATCCCAGCCCTCGATTATCATGCAGTTTTCGTAGATTGATTGCGGTGCGGTTCGCGTTGATGAGGTTTACAATCTTGGTGGCCGGATTTCCTGGACGAAATCAATTGAATTAGATTCAAATTTCAGTGCATAAACTCTGATGCTGAGTCGTGAGTTTGCCGGGAGATGGGTCGAGAGAGGTCGACAATGGCGGAGTTTGAGGGCGAGAACTACATTAACCATACATTGAGTTCCCATCAGAAATAAGAAATTATTATCGAGGCCTTTATATGTTCATCCGACTGTGTCAAATCTGGGGTTGTCCGCCGGCCCTCAATGGTCTTAGGTAGGCAGAACATGACCCAATTGGCTGAAATAAGTCGGTTGGCTGTTTTTAGTTTAGATGCCAACAGTTGATCCCTGGAAAAGGAAATCCTGTCGGCAGAGCAAAATTAGGCTATCGGGCAGTGGTGAATCACCGTAATCCGATATATGGTCACTCCTTAATGAGACATTCCTTTGGGATGCTCTATTATGATTATGCTATGACCAATTCTCAGCCCCAAATAAGGAATCTCAAGGGCACCCATGAGATAGCTAACGATGTTGAATTCTTCCATGGAGTTGATTTATAGTAAGAGATAGGCCAATGTCTCTACTCGATTTGACTGACCTCGATCATTGGTTCGAATGACCTACATTCAATCAACCACTTACCTAGGTTCAGGGGTTGCACCTAGTCAGGTTGGTGGACCACTTACCTAGGTTCAGGGGTTGCACCTAGTCAGGCAGGTCCATTGGTATTTTTTTTAATGAACCCTTAGCCTTCCATTAGTGGGGTGGAACCTTTGATCATCCGTTGGTGGAACCTAGGCTTTCCGCCTGTGGGACCATTGGTTTTCCGCATGTGGGCCTTCTTTAGTCTTATTCTTTTGTACTTTTATCCATTGGATCTCAAGATTCATATGCATAATTTAGTTTCTCGATTCTTTACATCTTGAAAGTGACAGTTGTAATAAGAATAAGAGAATTAAATGCAAAATTAGATTCATTTATTTTGTAATCAAAGTTCTTAATGATTGAACTCCCTGGATTTTCGTGTTAGTAGTTTCTCTATTGGGATAGTGACTGTGTGCTACTCCTCTTCTTGTTTATGTCATAATCCACGCTCACCGCACCTTTTAGGAAATTGAATCTTAGTTTATCTATGAATCATACCCAAGGAATATAGTGTATGACAGGAGATAGTAAAATGCACAGTAATGAACAGTAATTTGAATTGTTGATTAACTCTTTCATATTAAATGATCTTTATATTTATTCAGAAGGGGCACAATATATGAAATCACATGCGTGCCATTGTTTTAAAGGAAGTGTTACAAGGCATTTTAGGTATTTTACATGTATTACTACTATAGTATATTAATATATTATTATTATTATTTTATTATATATTATAATTTATAAAATTTAATGTTTTAAAATATAATAAAATTTATATATATAGTTATTTTATATTATTTTATATTTCAAACAATAACAATTCGAACACGAACGAACGCATCCCTGTTTGTGTTTGGTTCGTTTAACTAACCGAACGAAAAAAATTTGTTCGCGTTTGTCTCGTTTACTTATCGAACGAATCGAACACGAACTCATTGACGAACCGAATACGAACTGTTCGCGAAGAACGAGCTTTTTTGACAGCCCTAGCTACTCCTCTTCTTGTTTATGTCATAATCCACGCTCACCGCACCTTTTAGGAAATTGAATCTTAGTTTATCTATGAATCATACCCAAGGAATATAGTGTATGACAGGAGATAGTAAAATGCACAGTAATGAACAGTAATTTGAATTGTTGATTAACTCTTTCATATTAAATGATCTTTATATTTATTCAGAAGGGGCACAATATATGAAATCACATGCGTGCCATTGTTTTAAAGGAAGTGTTACAAGGCATTTTAGGTATTTTACATGTATGGGCATTCGGTTCAGCTGTGTTATGACTCAATTTGTTGAAATCACTCGGTTCTAGTTTGGCAGGAGCTATTCATCTGATTATGCTGAGTCGGAGTTGCGGGTCAACCCTCGATGGCCTTCGAATCGGTAGGACTTAACCCAATCAGCTGAAATCAATCGATCGGGTGTTCTTAGTCTAGTTGTCGATTGATGATTCACGTACAAGGAACTCTTGTCGATAAAGAAAGGCTAGACTATTGGGCGAAGGGTGAATGGTCGTAATCTAATACGCAACCCACTCATCGAAGAGATGTTCCTTCGGAATGCTCTATTGTGATTATGATATGGCAGTTCTTGGCTCCATATAAAGAATCCCAAGGTCATGTGTGTGATAGCTAGCAATGTTGAATTTTTACCTTGAGTGATTTATGGCGAGAGACAGTCGATGCCTCTGCCTCGGCTCGATTGGCCTCGGTCTTTGGTTCATATGGCCTACATTGGGTCGGTCTCTTACACCAATTCAGGGGGTAGGGGTTGCACCTGGTCAAGCAGGTCAGGTCTTTTGGTATTTTGTTAGTGAACCCTTTAGAATTGTTGTTGATACTAAGATTTTTAATGCTATAAGTATTTATGCTTCTCAAGTAGGTTTAGATATAGGTTCTAAAAAAAATTATATAATGACTAAGAAAAATTAATACAAATAATACATCATGAAGAAAGAATTTTTATTAGAAGAATTTAAATGGACATGTCGATGGAGTGGTAGAAGTTTTTAGAAATATTCATGGTGGCTATGGTTTTGGAGTTATTAATCAAGAAGGTAGAACCATATTAGATTTTTTTTAGCGTATGATTTTGTTATTAAAAATATTTTATTTAAGAAAAGAGATAGAGCATATTATTACTTATAAGAAAGGATCTAAGAAAATATAAATTAATTATTTTCTTATAAGAATAATAGATCGTCGAGAATGTAAAGATTATAAGGTTATTCTAACTGAAAATTTAAGTAAACATTGATTATTAATTTTGGATTTTAAGATGAAAAATTCTAAGAAAAATAATATTATGAATCATTATCATAGAATTAGATGAGACACCTAAAATACACAAATAGAACTATTTTTACGAGTAAACTTCAGGATCTTAAGATTTGAAATGTTCATAAGAAACAAACTCTATGCATGATAAAGTAACAAACACTATTAAACAAGGGGCAAATAATATACTTGAAGAATTAACAGGAAAAGTTTTTATAAATAAAAATAAGTGGTGGTGGACTAATAATGTGCAATAAAAGATAAAATATATGAAATTATGTAATAAACATTAGTTTAATGTAAAAGCTTAGAGAAGTGGGAAAAATATAAGGTGGTTTGTGGGGAATCTAAGAATACAATTTGTGAAGCTAAAAATTCTATTTTTAGTGAGCTTTATAATAAATTAGACACTAAAGAGAGTACAAAATATATGCATAAACTGACCAAACAAAGAGAAAAGAGAACTAAATATTTAACTAAAGTAGTGGATATTAAAGAAAAAATTAAAAAGTAATTTTTTTTAGAGGAAGATATTCAACATAGGTAGGTGAGCTAGTTTAATAAACTTTTCAATGAAGTTTCTGAAATTACGATCGATCTTAGTGATCTTAATTTCTTTAATAACAATAAAATATTTTATTTTTACCATCACATTTGTAAAAAATAAGTTGATAAGGCTTTAAAGAAAATCAAGTGTGAAAAATCATTAGGACCTAATAATATCTCAATTGAAGTGTGAAAATATTTAGGAGATTTG